TATATGCTATACATGCTATATGCTAGCAGCGCCACGTTGTTGTTAGATGCGGCTGCCTGAAAAGCACATTGATGGGCTCGATTGGAGAGCGTGGTCACCGTCTGGTCGTGTTTCCCAGGAGGGACGGGACGCTGCTCCAACCTGGACAGCTTCACTCCGAAAGCTTCCGCGAGGCTTGGCTCAAGGAGGGTTACCGAGAGATAGCCCCGCTCGGTGAACCCCTCCACTCTGGTGATGGGTGCGGACTGGAGACCGGCTCCCCCAATCTACCAGGAGAGAACCGTCTGTGGCCTCGCCCGTAGGACGTCCTGTTGGAACACGAGGCCATATGGATCAAGACGGTGAGCCGGAATGGAACCCAGTAAACAACCTTCCCGCCGGATCATCCGAACTGGCGGGAAAGGCGTGGGACGTAGAAAAAAGAGGTCTCTTCATGTCAGCCGCCTCCTGGGTTACGCCGGGCAACCCCTGAGGGCGCCGTCGGCCGGGAGCGGTGTGATCGCCGATGCGAAACGAGGTGGGATGGGGTGAGCATTCACTCAGCCCCCCTCCACTGACACTACGCTCCCCAGGAGGGAATGAGCAGCGGGGGCTGCAGCTGAGCGTGCCTGTCCCGGAGGAACCATCCGATTCGCTCCGAGGGTCGGCGATAAGAGGAAAATTACAAGATGGCGTTGTCCAGCGTGTAGTGACCTGTCACTGAGAAATATTCCTCGGCGCTTACCTTGAAATAAGACTGCTCGTCAGCTTCTCCTCGGGGAGGAGAACTCACCGGACGACCGGAGGTCGACTGCCAGGCCAAGCATCCTTAACAAAGGTTGGTCATCTACACAATTTTCCTTCTTTGTTCTTCTGACAGTGCTATTAGCTCGCTGAAGAAAAAATGGGAGCCGATTTCCCGCTCTTAACGTAATTTATACGGACCGGGTAGGGCCCACACAGCAGGTGGGCGTGGACTAAATCTTTCAGTGCAAATGCTACGCATAACGGTATAAACCCACCAAGCGACAGCCTTAAAGGGCGAAGCTTATACGAAATAGAACTAAAACATTTTGTCAACGCGAAAGAGGAAAGAAGGGGCAGGTGTCGCTCTCGCTTTGAGTTTACTCTTTGTTGCATGTGAGCTGTGAGTGACATCCAGAGCGCATGGACATAAAAACAGCAGCGGAGGACGGAGGAGGTGTCGGAGTTTATTTATCGTATCAGCAGCAGAGGGGAGAAACACGGTTCATGCATGGCTCCCAAAACGACAAGGCAGGCATATTTGTTCATAACTTTATTATTAGGAACGCACGCGACAAAATGAGAATGATGAAAAAAAAAATAATAATAATAATACCTACTCCTTGCGGCAAAAAAAGCATGTTTTCCGGGGTCACATGCGCCCCCACTGGCATTGCCCCGGGCCCCCCCCAGGGGGCCACGCCCCACTAATTGAAAAGGACTGGTTTAATGAAACAAGATATCACTAAAACCAACTTAAATTTTTCATTTGTGCCCACAAAACCCAGCTGAAACTGTCTCCCAGTATTTGTTATAACCCTGACTCAGCATTCACACTTTTGTTTGTTTTTAGTTACCCTATGTGTTTTGAAATCAAACTACAGCTGCATACTGGTGCTATTTAAGCCGTTCATATACCAAAACATTATGACTTTTGTATAGCAATGGGCCATCAGGGCACTAACGAACGGTCGTTAGGCTGATGGTCCTTTATCATGTGAACAGCTAGTTTTGGCTGTCATCAGCGAACTGGTTGATCCACTATGTGAAGGTGCTGTTTATAAGACTGAGTGTGTTGCAGCTCCTCAGGCGACGAAGTCTTTTGACGAAAAGACGACATGTTTCAACAAAGACAAATCTGTCCAGAGGAACTGACTTTTTTTTTTTTGGGGGGGGGGGGGGGGGG